TGGTGCTGCTGGTGCTCCTGGAGCTGGAGCTGCTGCGTCTTCGGGTGGTCCGACTGGAGCTGGGGCTACTGGGGGTGTTGGCGCTGGAGGTGCTGCTGGCGCTGGTGCTGCTGAGGGTGCTGGAGTTGGCGCTGCTGGAGCTGGGGGTACTCCTGGTGCTGGTGCTGCCGTTGGGGGTGCTGGTGCTGTTCCTGCTGGCACTGGTGGCGCTGCGCGGCCACGGCCGTACTTCGTTCCGCTCCTTGAGCAGGTTCTTGGTCTTCCGTCCTCTCTTGGTCCTGCTCCTCCCTTAGCGTGTCCGCCTCCTGTCCAGTCTGAGTCACAGTTACAGCCAGCCTCCCCGCTTCCTTCTCCTTCTCCCTACACTGGTCCTACTGGAGGTCTTGCTGAGCGTCGTGAGCCTGCGTCTCGTCCTGCGTCGCCTGTCCGCGCTGCTCGCACTAGTGGTCGTGGTTCACGTCAGCGTCCTCCCCCTGTCCCCGGCACGCACCGGATGTCTCTGCGTCCTTCCACTGCTCCTCTGCGTGCCCCTTTGCCTTCTCCTCCCGCGTCCTCTCTTCCTGACCTTCCTGACCCTGAGTCGGACTCCCTTCGTGCTGCGCGTCCTACTGTCACGCGTCTCCTTGCTACTGTCGTCACTGACCCTTCCTTTGAGTCTACTGCTGCGTCTGCTCTGGTTGCTGAGCTTGTCGACTTTGCTGCTCGCTGTCGCCTAGACTACGCTGCCAGTCTCGTCGCTGAGTCTGCGTCTGTCTGTCCTCCGTCCGTCGGGGGTGAGTGTGCTCTTGGCACGGACGTCCTTGAGGACAGGCAGGAGGAGTTCCAGTGCTTGGCTGCTGCTTCACCTCATCTCGTGTCCATGCTGCTTGCCCCTGAGGGAGACCCGGATGCACTTGACATCCCGACTCCGCGCTCTTACGCGGAGGCGATAGAGGGTCCCTACTCCTCTCAGTGGCAGGCAGCCATGGACGCAGAGATGGCTTCCTGGAAGTCCACAGGCACCTACGTTGACGAGGTTCCCCCGCCTGGGGCGAACATCGTCAGTGGCATGTGGATTTTCAGGGTGAAGCGGCCGCCGGGTTCTCCGCCTGTCTTCAAGGCGCGTTACGTGGCTCGTGGCTTCAGTCAGCGGCAGGGAGTTGACTACTTTCAGACCTTCTCTCCCACCCCGAAGATGACTACTCTTCGGGTACTGCTGCACATAGCCGCTCACCGAGACTACGAGCTGCACTCTCTTGACTTCAGCACTGCTTTCTTGCAGGGCAGCCTGCACGAGGAGATCTGGCTGCGCCGCCCACCTGGCTTCACTGGGACTTTTCCTCCTGGCACCCAGTGGAGCCTCCGGCGGCCAGTCTACGGTCTCCGCCAGGCGCCTCGTGAGTGGCACGACACACTGAGGACTACACTTGCGGCTCTTGGGTTTGCTCCTTCTACTGCCGACCCGTCGCTGTTTCTGCGCACCGACTCTTCCTTGCCGCCGTTCTACATCCTCGTGTACGTCGACGACTTGATCTTTGCTACTGCTGACACTGCTGGACTTGCCTACGTGAAGTCCGAGCTGCAGAAGAGACATACGTGCACAGACCTGGGTGAACTGCGCAGCTACCTTGGCTTGCAGATCACCCGGGACAGAGCACAGCGCACCATTACCCTGACTCAGTCACACATGGTGCAGCAAGTCCTTCAGCGCTTCGGCTTCACGTACTCCTTGCCTCAGGCCACTCCTCTGCCTACTCGCCACTCGCTCTCAGCTCTGCCTTTGGATGAGTCCGTAGAGTCGAGTGGCCCGTACCCAGAGCTTGTTGGCTGCCTCATGTACCTGATGACCTGCACTCGACCTGACCTTGCATACCCTCTTAGCATTCTGGCACGCTATGTTGCTCCTGGGAGACACAGACCAGAGCACATGGCTGCAGCGAAGAGGGTGTTGCGCTACTTGTGCAGTACGTCGGGCATGGGGCTTGTGCTTGGAGGGCAGAGTCCAGTGGTCCTCACTGGTCACGCAGACGCTTCTTGGGCTGACGACCAGGCTACGCAGCGGTCGTCACAGGGTTACACCTTCAGCCTTGGCTCTGGCTCTGTTTCGTGGCGGTCTACCCGCTCGTCTTCTGTTCTCGGCTCCAGCTGTGAGGCTGAGATCTACGCAGGGGCCATGGCTGCACAGGAGTTACGCTGGCTCACCTACCTGCTGACTGACCTGGGAGAGCCGCCTCGTTCTCCTCCAGTGCTGTACGTAGACAACAAGGCCATGCTGGCCTTGTGTCGGGAGCACAGACTGGAGCACAGAACGAAGCACATCGCTCTCCGCTACTTCCTTGCTCGTGAGCTGCAGCAGCGTGGTCAGCTGCGCCTTGCTTACGTGGCCTCTGAGGCCAACACTGCTGATATCTTCACCAAGGCACTCGCGCCTTGTGATCATCAGCGCTTCTGTACTCTGTTAGGTCTTGTGCCTACCTTGCCTCACTTGCTTACTTCTTGACCTTGCTTGTACTGTTACATATATATACCTGCCCTTGCTTGTTTAGCGTTATATATATGTACCCTTGCATGTGAACTGGCCTTGTGGCCTTGAACTTGTGCTCAGACTGTGTGGTGACGTTGTGATCCACCCTGAGCTTGCTTTGCCTTGCTTTGCTTGACTGGTCTTGTGACCCCTTGTTCTCCCCCACTTTGCCTATGGGGGTGTGTCAAACTCATACACTATAGTCTGTGTAGGCTGTAGTGGGGTAGCTTATATGGGGTACAACATTCTAGGGTTTGGTACTTGTACTCCTCATGCTGCTCAATGCAACCATTCTCGTTCTATTCTAAGATTCTAACAATTACATGCATAGCTAGTAGTGTAGTATCATCCAATCTTGTCTCTAGGTGGTGTACCTCCCTTGGCCACCTCTGGTTGCTATATCTTGTACCTCTCTCTTTAGTAAAACCCCCATCTTTGTTGGCCAACTTTCTCTCGCTTCCCAAACCCTAAGGTTCTAACTACCTTAGTATCTTGACATGCTATCAGAGCAGGCCTGATCCTAGGCCATATTTTTTTTCTTCATGGGCCCGCAGCTCCCCCCGTCGTGCTACTCGTCGCTGCCCCTGTCGCGCCTGTCGTGGCGCTCATCACGACGCTCAACGTGACGGCCGCGGCGGACGCGATGGCGACTCCCGTCTGTCGTGCTGCATCCCGTCGCCCCACTGCCGCCCGATTCCCGTCGCCGCAGCGCCCCGATTCCCGTCGCGTCGCACCGGTTCCGTTCCGTCTTCTTGCGTCCGTCGCGCCTGCCCGTCTCGTCGCGTCGCGCCCGTCTCGTCCCGTCCTACACATGCGCCAGCAACCAGCGCCAGCGCCAGTGGTGGTCGCCAGTTCCAGCGCCAGCGCCCAGCGCCAGCGCAAATGACAGCGCCAGTGCCAGCAGCAGCTACCCCCCCCCCCCCCCCTTTCCGCGACTTTCGCCGTGGGGGAGGGGGAGATGTGGGGGTGGCAGGTGTGAACAGCCAGCAGCCCGTCTCTTCCTTCCCTCTTCCTCTCTCCCTGCAGCACTTGTTGCTGTGGGGGGGGGGGGAGGAGAGAGGTTAAGAGGAGAGAGAGAGAGAGAGAGAGAGAGAGAGAGAGAGAGAGAGAGAGAGAGAGAGAGAGAGAGAGAGAGAGAGAGAGAGAGAGAGAGAGAGAGAGAGAGAGAGAGAGAGAGATTTGCTTGTTTGTGTAGCGGGTCCGTGCACCCATAACCCCCCAAGGATCAATCGGGGATCTCACAGTGCAGATCTACTGGCGCTGGTCGCATGTGCTGGCGCTGGCGCTGGCGCTTGTGTTCCACGCTGGCGCTGGCGGCAGTCGCAGGTGCTGGCGCTGGCGCTGGCGGTCCGCGCTGGCGCTGGCGCTTATGACGGGCAGGGCGACGGGCATGACGGGCACGACGAGCGGGGGACGAGATGCGCAGAACGGGCAGAGCGCAGGGCGACGGGCACGACGAGCGCAGGACGCGACGGGCGACGGGAAAAAAAAAATAGAGCGCATTTCGCACTACAGCATGGGTGGGCCCATGTTCCTTAAGAGAAAAATGGTCCTAGATCGAGACCAGCTCTGATACCATGTTAAGAAAGTAGTTAACTTAGGAGGCTCTAGGGTTTTGGGAAGAGAGAAGAAGTGGGCCAAAGAAGGGGGCTTGCAATAACAACGAGAGTACAAGATGTAGGAAAGGGGAGGTGGCCAAGGGAGGTACACCACCTAACGACAAGATAGGATGATACTACACTACTAGCTATGCATGTAGTTATATAAGAATTTCATATTTTGACAGAGTGAGTCAGGTGAGAGGGGTTGGGCTTGAACTTGTCGCTCATGACGAAAGTCGAGTGGCCCAGTAATTTGGTTACCACCATGTACCTTTTATAAACTTCTAACGCTGCCAAATGTATACTGGTGCTTTAAACAAAATGTTGGAAAATAAAACGTGGCCAAATCGATTGTGAGGGATTGCTTCGCAACCCAAAAAAACAATTGAAACCCGCAGCCTGAATTACAAAAATTGTTTTGAGGTGTTAACACTTTCCCTCCCGAACCTGGGTGGTCACCAGGTGTCCAACCAGTAAACGTGAGGAAGTAGCACGCAACACAGGGAAGGATCGCAAGGGGCCCTGGCAACGAGTTTGGCTGCAGGTGTGCACATCTTGCAGGAAAATGTAATTCAGGTCAAGAGAAATCGGAGAGTTCCTAGCCTACTATTAGCCTGCACTTCTGCTTAGATTTGGATTTTTTATTCCAATTACTGGAGTCTCAATCGCAATCTTTGCTCGTTGTGACGCACTCCCGTCGCACTAGGGTTTCTCCCCTCCGTCGCCTACGCTCATCCCTCCCGTCGCGTAAACATTTTCGGCTGCGTCGCCTACGCTCATCCCTAACATATTCCCCTGCGTCGCCCATGCTCATCCCTCTCGTCGCGTTAACATATTTCCCCGTGGCCCACGCTCACTCCCCTCCCGTCGCCTTCGCTCTTTCCCCCCCGTCGCCCATGCTTACTCCCTCTCATCGTGTTCGCTCACTCCCCTTCCGCCGCCCACGTGCACTCCCTCCCATCACGTTCGCTCACTCCCCTTCCGCTGCCCACGCTCACTCCCTCCTGTCGCGCCGCTCACTCCCATTCCGACGCCCTCGCGCACTCCCTCCCGTCGCGTTCGCTCACTCCCCTTCCACCGCCCACGCTCACTCCCCCCGTCGCGACAGTCCCCTCTGTCGCACACGCTCATTCCCCTCAATCGCCCACCTTCACTCCCCTCCGTCGCCCACGCTCACTCTCTCCCATCACCCACGCTCACTCCGACGAGAAGCTCGCTCATTCCCCTTCCGTCGCCCACGCTCACTGCCCGTACGTCGCACACGCTCACTCCCTTCCATCGCCCATGCTCACCCCCCTCCCGTCGCCTTCGCTCATTCCCCTCCGTATCCCACGCTCACTCCCTCCGGTCGCCTTCCCTCACTCTCCTTCCGCCGCCCACGCTCGCTCCCTCCCGTCTCGTTCAGCCCCATTTGTTGCCCACGGTCACTTCCCTGCCATCACACACGCACGCACCCTCCCTTCGACCAAAAAGGCATTCCCCGCTTCCGTCGCATACGCGTTCATCTCCCCGTCCCTCATCTCCCCATCCCTCATCTCCCCATCCCTCATCTCCCCATCCCTCATCTCCCCATCCCTCATCTCCCAATCCCTCATATCCCGATCCCTCATCTCCCCGTCCCTCATCTCCCCATCCCTCACCTCCCCATCCCTCTCCTCCCCATCCCTCACCTCCCCATCCCTCATCTCCCCATTCCTCACCTCCCCATCCCTCATCTCCCCGTCCCTCACCTTACCCATCCCTCATCTCCCCATCCCTCATCTCCCCGTCCTTCATCTTCCCATTCCGCTGCCTCACCCCATTCCGCCTCACCCCATCCCGCCTCACCCCATTCCGCCTCACCCCATTCCGCCTCACCCCATTCTGCCTCACCCCATTCCGCCTCACCCCATTCCACCCCACCCCATTCTTCCCCACCCCATTCTACATCACCTCATTCCGCCCTGCCATCCTACTTCCCACCCCTTTTTCCTCGTTTCCCCATCCCTCCTTTCCCCCTCTGCCTCAGTTCGCCATCCTTCCATTCCCCGTGCCTACTTCCACCATTCCACCATACGGTCATACCCCATCCCACGACCTCCCCGTGACCTCCACCCCGTCCCCTCTCCTTCCTGCTTCTTCCCATCTTCCGCCTCGCTAAAAAGTTTGTTCTTCACCACCTCCTATACCTATCCCCTACCCATCCCCTCCTCTCCCCATCCATCCTTTCCCCGTCGATCCTCTCCCTATCTCTCCTCTTCCAAACCCATCATTTTCTCATTCCCTCCTCTCCCCGCCCCTTTCCTCCATGTCTCCCATCTGCCGTGCCTCACCTCCATCTGTTCCTCGCATCCTCCATCCTCATTTCCTCCCTACCACCCTTTCTCCTCCCCACCTTCCTCCCCAGCCTCTCTTCCTCCTCTCCCTTCTGCTTCTCTTCCCCACGTCTTCCCTACCTCCCTTCCTCCCATCATCACTTCCTCCCTTCATTCATGTATTCCTCGCTTCCTCCCTTCCTCCATTCCTCCCTTCCTCATTTGCCATTTGTCATTCTTTTGCATGCTTGCTTCCCTTCTACTTCAGCCATGTCACATCTGACTTCCTGGTTTTGTTTGTACAAGTCTCCTCTGCATCTAGTTGTGATGTGTTGGCTGTTTGATAGTAACTCGACGTATAGCCATGCCATGTATTGGTTCAATTTTTGAAATACATCATAATGAGCGTTAGGGTAGTCATACACATGACCACTACCAAGGAGTTCAACAAATAATATATTACTGTATCTGTAAAAGTAAGGGGAATCAATCACTCGAGAAAAGAACAAAGCTAGGGGGTGTGTAATGTTGCTTCCCGGTTTTGTCCGCTACACTGCAAGCAATAAATCAGGCCGTGGAAAATCCACATCTGGTGCTGGACACCTGTAACTGCATTGGAGGATATGGGGGTGAGTGAAGGGGGAAAGACAGTAAACAGAATTAGCAGAAGGAAAGAGAAGAAGCAGCGGGGGACAGATTGAGCAGGGGGGAAGAGAGGAAGCAGGGGGAAACAGAGTGAGCAGAAGTGAATAGAGTGAGCAAGGGGAAGAGAGTGAGAAGAGAAGGGGGGGAGGGAGCAAGGGTGAAACAGAGTGAGCAAGGGTGAAACAGAGGGAGCAAGGGTGAAACAGAGGGAGCAAGGGTGAAACAGAGGGAGCAAGGGTGAAACACAGTGAGCAACCCTAAATAAAATGAGGAGGGAGGAAGAGACTGAGCTGGGGGGAAGATAGTGAGCAGAGGGAAAGAGAGTGAGTAGTGGGGAATATAGTGAGCAAGGAGGAAAAAGAAAAGGGGGAAGAGTGTGAGATTGGCAAAACAGAGTGAGCAAGGGGAGACAGATGGAGCAAGGGGAAACAGAGGGAGCAAGGGGAGGGGACATGAGGGCGACGAACGGGGGAAAGTGAGGTCAACAGGAGGGGGAAAGCGCGGTCGACGGGAGGGGGAAAGCGAGGTCGACGGGAGGGGGAAGGCGAGGTCGACGGGAGGGGGAAAGGGTAAGCAGTGTGGGGGTGAAAGGCGATTATTCGGGAGAGGGAAGGGTGTATGTGCGGGTTGGAAAGGGGGCGTGACAAGTGTGCGAGATCGGAAGGGAGAAGGGAGGGATGGCAAGGGCAACGATGAGTGGAAGGGAGGGCGACGGGGAAAACAAGAGCGACGGGGGGAGAGAGAGACGGAGATTGCGAGGGGACGAGCGGGAGGGAGGGCGACGAGCGGCAGGGAGGGCGACGAGACGAAGGGGGGCAACGGGCGGAAGGGAGCGCGACGTGGGGAAGGAAGGGCGGCGGGCGGCAGGGAGGGCGACGGGTGGAAGGGAAGGTGACGGGCGGAAGGGAGGGCGACGGGCGGAAGCGAGGGCGACAGGCGGGGAAGCGGTGAGGGCGACGGGCGAGGCGAGGGTGTAGACGGGGTGAGCGAGAGCGACGGGCAGGGGAAGCGAGAGCGATGGGCGAGGGAAGCGAGGTCGACGGGCGGCGAGGCGGCGAGGGCGACGGGCGGGGCGGGGGCGGTGGGCGGAGAAAGCAAGGGCGACGGGCGAGGGTCGCGAGGTAGGCAAAGCGCTAATTTCCCTTCTCCTCATGACCAGTTTCTCCGTGCTTTGATTGCGTATACACGCTGCACCTACTAATTCCAGTTGTCTGATATATGTTTACTATAAAACTCTAGCTGGTGTGCGATGGTCGGATTCCGAAAGCTAGTGAATGAGTTAGTTAGCTTGTTGTTTTGTCGCATTAGTTTAATTACTCTGATCCAGCTCTCTTGATGTTGGAAAGCACATTGTCTGCGAACTGTTTGCCTCACGGAGAGAGTCGCATCAGGCTTCGCTAACCTGCTACCTTTCGCAATTCCTCCGCACCTTACATTTCCCGAACCTCAGACCTACCAAACCAAAAGTTGACTCAGGTTTTGTAATTCAGGCTTCGGGTTTTGTCAAAATCCTAGCCACTAGACCACTCGGATAAAAGGGCTTGTTTGTGTAGCGGGACCGTGCGCCCATAACCCCCCAGGCGAGCGTGCTTGTAACCTCCCAAGGATCAATCGGGAATCTTACAGTGCAGATCTACTGACACCCTGTCAGAATGTTATATTGTCTAGCCTGCAGTGGGGTACTCTATAGCGAGTACAGCCCAATCTAGGGTTTGCTATTTGTACTCAACTGCCTGCTAGTTCAAACCCTCTTTCTGTTCCTAACTTCTGCCTAACTTGTTTCAACACACCCCCCCACACTGGGAGGCCCAGGACTGAGCACAGCGGCAACGGCCTGCATGTGCATACACCGGAATTCGAACCCGAGACCGCATTGATACCATGTCAGAATCTTAGCCACTAGACCACTGGGATAAAAGGGCTTGTTTGTGTAGCGGGTCCGTGCGCTCATAACCCCACAAGGATCAATCCGGGATCTCACAGTGCAGATCTACTGGCGCTGGCGCTGGTCGAAGGTGCTGGCGCTGGCGCTTGCGCTTGCGTTCCACGCTGCCGCTGGCGGCAGTCGCAAGTGCTGGCGCTGGCGCTTACGACGGGCAGGGCGACGGGCGTCACGGGCGCGACGAGTGGGGGACGCGACGGGCAGAACGAGCAGAGCGCAGGGCGACGAGCGCGATGGGCGCAGGGCGCGACGGGCGACGGAAACAAAAAAAAAATAGCGCATTTCGCGCTGCAGCATGGGCGGGCCCAAGTTCCTTAAGAGAAAAGTGGTCCTAGATCGGGACCAGGCTTGTTACCATGTTAAGGTAGTACCGTCAGCCCCCGGATAGAAGCTGTCAACAGGACTAAGCAAGAATGTGTCATTGAATGGAAGAATTGGGTACAAGTAGCAAACCCTAGTTGGGGTTGTACCCCATACTGGCTACCCCACTACAGCCTACCAACATAACACAGTTTAACACACCCCCATAGGCAAAGTGGGGGAGAACAAAGGGTCACAAGACCAGTCTAGCAAAGCAAAGCAAGCCCAGGGTGGATCACAACGTCACCACACTCCGAGCACAAGCAAAGGCCACAAGGCCAGTTCACATGCAGTGCTAGATATAGTACAAGACAAGCAACACAGTGATCAAGACCTAGCAAGCAAGCAACGAGATATATATAAAGGACAGTACAAAGAAAGTCAAGCAGTAAGCAAATGAGGGAATGTGGACACAAGGCCTAAGGAAGTACAGTGCCGCTGATGATCACTAGGCGGGAGCGCCTTGGTGAAGATATCAGCAGTGTTGGCCTTCGAGTCCACGTACACAAGCCGAAGCTGACCTCGCTGCTGCAGCTCTCGAGCAAGAAAGTAACGCAGAGCAAGAGCAATGTGCTTCGTCCTGTGCTCCAGTCTGTGCTCCTGACACAAGGCAAGGGCCGCCTTGTTGTCACCGTACAGAACTGGAGGAGAACTAGGCCGCTCTCCCAAGTCAGTCAGCAGGTAGGTGAGCCAGCGTAACTCCTGGGCAGCCATGGCTGTGGCGTAGATCTCAGCCTCACAACTAGAGCCGAGAACAGAAGAAGAGCGGGTGGACCGCCACGAGACAGAACCAGAGCCAAGGCTGAAGGTGTAACCCTGTGACGACCGCTGCGTAGCCAGGTCGTCCACCCAAGAAGCGTCCGAGTGGCCAGTGAGGACAACTCTGTCGCGTCCTCCAAGCACCAGCCCCATGCCTGATGTACTGCACAAGTAGCGCAGCACCCTCTTAGCAGCCTCCCAGTGCTCTCGCCTGTGTCTCCCAGGCGCAACGTAACGAGCAAGGATGCTAAGAGGGTACGCGAGGTCAGGTCGCGTGCAAGTCATCAGGTACATGAGGCAGCCCACAAGCTCTGGGTACGGGCCACTCGGCTCTACGGACTCGTCCGGAGGTGGAGCTGAGAGCGAGTGGCTGGTAGCCAGAGGTGTGGCCTGTGGTGAGGAGAACTGGAAGCCGAAGCGCTGAAGGACCTGCTGCACCATGTGTGACTGAGTCAGGGTGATGGTGCGGCGAGCTCTGTCCCGGGTGATCTGCAAGCCAAGGTAGCTACGCAGCTCACCCAGGTCAGTGCAGGTGTGTCTCTTCTGCAGCTCCGACTTCACACGAGCGAGTGCCTCAGTGTCAGCAGTAGCAAAGACCAAGTCGTCGACGTACACGAGAATGTAGAACGGCGGCAGCGACGTGTCTGTGCGCAGAAACAGCGACGGGTCAGCAGTAGACGGCGCGAACCCAAGAGCCGCAAGTGTAGTCCTCAGTGTGTCGTGCCACTCGCGTGGCGCCTGGCGGAGACCGTAGACTGGCCGGCGGAGGCTCCACTGGGTACCAGGAGGAAACGACCCAGTAAAGCCAGGTGGGCGACGCAGCCAGATCTCCTCGTGCAGGCTGCCCTGCAGGAACGCTGTGCTGAAGTCAAGAGAGTGAAGCTCGTAGTCACGCTGAGCAGCAACGTGCAGCAGAACCCGAAGAGTGGTCATCTTCGGGGTGGGGGAGAAGGTCTGGAAGAAGTCGACCCCCTGACGCTGACTGAAGCCTCTAGCAACGTAACGAGCCTTGAAGACAGGCGGAGAACCTGGCGGCCGCTTCACCCTGAAAATCCACATGCCATCGACGATGTTCGCCCCAGGAGGG